GGTTCCTACGGCTCTTTTAATAGATTTCCTTATTGTTCCAGGTTTCTGGGAACTCATCAGTGATAGCTGCCCTGGATGTGTTGAGAGGATACTATGTGCTGAGAACTCCACATATGAAATTTTACTTAATTTCCCTATAATGTTACAAAGTAGATATTATTTTCCCCATTGCACTCAAAGAGACTGAAAGCTAGAGAGGCTAAAAGCAGAGCAAGAATTTGAACCAAATGTCTGTGGCCATAACCACCATACATATAGCCTGTTTCCACGTTGTTCCAGCAGGCTCCTTGTTTTCTTCCTTCTTACGGTAAAATCCAACTGATCATTGTTGAGGAACGGATCTTAAGAAGTCGAGATGCAGAAAGAGTTTTGCTCCTGCAATTTCAGGAGGTCTTTGCATACACACCTATTATTGCAAATGGATTTTGCTTTATTTGCTTTATTTATATTGGGAAAAAGGCTATCAATATTCCCCCAGGACTCTGTTTTTACAGCTGAGATTGCTTTTCTCAGTCATTATGAAGTAGAAATTCTAATTATTATGATATCACATAAGATTCAAGGCCACTAGTGACAAATGTTCAAGAGGAGGTGTGTTCAGCTTTGTGATGTAGTATTGTGATAAAAATATGACACGGGATTTCAAAAATACAAAAATGTAAAAGGAATATGAATATAATAAATGATTGGGAATATATGCATGGAATTTAATCTATTTTTCCTAAACGCTGACTATATGAGTTTTAGTCCAATGATGTAATCTGTGCCTGAGAAAGTTCCCAGTCAATTTCATGCTGTTCATGTGCCATTCCACTTTACTTTGTAAGTAGGTTGGAAAAATACATGAGAAAAAATGTACACTCATCTTTTTAATAATATTATAAACAATGGTGAACAAGTTAATAGGAAGAAAAGAAAACCAATTCATCTAGACATTCTTGCAATGAATTTTTGTCAAATGCTTAATTTTTACTAGACGCTAAGACAATTGGGAAGCCTTAAGTCTGACAGAGGATCCAGGGACAAAAATTTCAAAGTAGTGAGCGCTGAAGTAAGAGTTAAGTAAGAAGGCTGGATAAGGTGTTCACTACTAGCTCAATCTTGGAAAGGTCCAGGAAAATATCCCAGGACACTTGTCTCTGAGACCTAAAAAGCTGAGTGGGCATTAATCAAGTGTGGGAGGTTGTTTCAGGGTCAGGACAGGTGAAGGACAGGCTCCATTTTAGGAAAGTGAAAGTAGTTCAGTGTTATTGAAGCTGACAGTGAGGGAGGAAGTGACAGAAGATAAAGGCTGAAAAGAAACAAGTTAAATCTTACAGTCTCTAGACTGGGATAAATAACTTAGACTTTTATATTAACGTCAATAAGCAGCCACGAAAAAGTTTTAAGTAGGTGAATGACATGATCCAATTTATGCTTTGGGAAGATTACTTTTGACTCAGTGTCCAAGCTAGGTGGAAGGAGGCAAAATAAGAAGTAGAGAGCTATTTGATGCTGGGAACAGAGATCTGTTGAAACAAACAGGCAAGATTCAGTGGAGGCCTGAACTAGGTAGGTAGCATCTGGGGTGGTAAGAAATGTACAGATACAAAAGATATTTAGAAGGACAAAAGGGTATTTTAGTTGGATGATGTACATTTCAAAGGAGCAAGGAAGAAGAATGGTCTGGGGACAATATTGGTGAGCCAGGAGTCTTCATTTGAGCAGGCTGCAGGGAAAGTTGTGTCCCCAGAAGATGCCACATTTCAGTTATGGTGCAATGGGAGCGAATGCTCACTGTGGCAGTGGAATCACTAGAGGGCCACAAGTGGATCAGATTGGAAGGTGGGATAATATCCCAGCCCGAATTAGATTGTACAATCCCAGGGAGCAGGAGTGACGAAAAAGGGAATGGAATAGAGAAAGAGGGAGAGTAATATAAGGATGCAGTATAGGCCTAACTGCTCCTAGGTTTGACCGATTGCTCAATCCCGTAGGACCACCTTCTGAGAAGTTGTGTAATTTCATCATGGAGAAAAGAAAGTGAAGAATTTAACCATTGGCTGCAGCCTCCAATTGGTCAAAGGTTTGTCTCACAGAGTATGAACCTCCCTGCACGTCCATATTACACATATTTGAGTGCAATAAGGGTCTTACATAAGTATCATCAGGATCGCCCCGTGGAAGGAGTTGAGAAGTTGCAATAATGTCAGGTTGCTCTTGCATGCAAGCAATCAGAATATACCCTAAAAGCAAGAGATCTCAGCAGCAGCTTGAATGAAATCAGTGAGCCAAAGCCTATAAACTAGTATATAAAAGGTGCATAATACAGTCCACCTCCTGCACTATTCAAGGCACTTTCCTCCATCATTATATCCAAATTGCATACTACAATAGAGGTCCCCATTTCTGTGAGAGTAAGTTGTCCTTATCTACCCTACAAGAAGGGAAGCACTAGTTCAATCTGTCACAAGGTCTCCTTCAAGGGGATGTTTCACCAGAGTCTAGTTAAGGATAAGTAAGAAAAACTTCTGTTCCACAGCTGGACCTGGATCTGAAGTCATAATTAATATTTATCTCCAATCTCTTCCAGCAATTCTGTATTTCCCGCACCAGGGGCCAGCACATTAGCTATCTGTTTTGGTGTCCTGGTGTGATGACACAGACCTTCATCCTTGAGGGGCCTGAACCTTTATTTGCCTTATCCTTGTTGGGCCACAGTTGTTGCAATACAACTATGCACCAACTTTTGACCATACAATTATGTAGGTACAATACAACTATGTATAAATCTGTTATCGTTGGACCTGGGAGCACCAAGAGATGCCCCGTGAAATCCTTGGGTTCCGGATGTGCTTCTTCTTATCTTCACTGGGAACAGCAACTCCAGTTCCTCAGGAGAGTCAGGGCTATTACTGTTAATGATGTGTTTTTTCTCCCCTGCTGGCCCATAAGCATGAAGAGTTCAACTGATATTTTCAGCTTCAAATTCAGGGACTCTTACATTTTTTCTGACAGAATTATTATCTTTCCCATTCACAATCACAATTAAGATTTATAATCCAATAGAGGCTAAAGTTGCAAGATGGTAAACACAGATTCTGTAATCACTTGGTTCCCAGTTTTACATAACTGAGCTACTGGGATTCAAAACCATATATTGGTCATTGAATTAATGTATATACCATATCCTGGAAGACCACATTCAACCCTGCTATGTGTTGTCCCCCAGCCCGAATCTTAATGACCTTTAATACGATTTCTACCATTCTCTTAGGATGGCTGCTTCTGGGTGATGGGGCACAAGGAACAATTATTAGATCCTGTTTCATGCACTCATTATCTTGCCTCTTATAAAAGAGTTCCCTTGGCGTGTGGCAATGTCGTGTGAAATATATGTTGATAAGTATTCTAAAAACTTTTGGATGGTAAGCCAGTGGAGGTACTACAGACAAAGAGAGCAAACCCAGGGTATAGTCACATTAAGGATTAATTCCTATAAGGACAAATTTTTGTCCTCCCCAACCCCCCAGGGTAGAAGACCTCTAATTGTAATCCACCTGATACCAAGAGGCTGGCTGATCTCCTCAATCTCTGCTGTTGATGAATTGAGCATTCAAGAGTATCATTAGCTAGACTAGAAGGAGTTCATGCAAACCTTTGTCTCTGCCATGCAACCACCCTTTTCTTGGGACCACTGTCCAGCATAGAAGCAATCAATGAGAGAGAAATGAAGTGACATAACATGATGAATTAGCCTCCCCCACTGGTTACTGAGAGACTTGGTGGTGACTGTTCTCTGGCAGGTAGTAATAGCTGCAAAATTTGTGTTCATTTTTATAGGTCAATCTATGTGCCTCTTCCTGTGACCTCACCATTCATCATTCCCCAGTTTTCTTTTTTTTTTTTTTTTTGAGACGGAGTTTCGCTCTTGTTACCCAGGCTGGAGTGCAATGGTGCGATCTCGGCTCACCGCAACCTCCGCCTCCTGGGTTCAGGCAATTCTCCTGCCTCAGCCTCCTGAGTAGCTGGGATTACAGGCACGTGCCACCATGCCCAGCTAATGTTTTGTATTTTTAGTAGAGACGGGGTTTCACCATGTTGACCAGGATGGTCTCGATCTCTTGACCTCGTGATCCACCCGCCTCGGCCTCCCACAGTGCTGGGATTACAGGCTTGAGCCACCGCGCCCGGCCCATTACCCAGTTTTCTAATTTGGTTACTTCCAGACTCCCCACCAGTCATTCATGGAAAGTGGATGATCAAATTTACTGATCACCACTTTCCTGCTGGCTAATTTACTTTTACCACTGCTCTTTAGAGATACCTCTAAGTGGATCTATAATATGTCAGCAGTGTGTTTTTGACTAGCATCTGTTGACACACTTGTGAGCCAGGCCTGAGGTTTTTTTCAATTTTCTATCAGTTGGTCATAGGGAATCCCCTATAAACCATAAGTGAAAGATAAGATAAAAGATATCAGAGCAATCGAAGCAGATGACATACAAATCTGTGTCACTCTTCATGCAATTTACTCTTGCCTTTTGGACCTGTCTCAGGCCCATTTCCAGACACAACATTCCATAATACAATGGATTGCTGCTGTGCTAACCCAATCTATGATTCAGTGTACCTAATAATATATAGCTTGCTCTAGTTCAGATATCTGCTCCTATCAAATCTCATCTTGAAATCTGATTTAAAATGTTGGAGGTGGGCCCAAGTGGGAGGTGTTTGGATTCTAAGGAGTGGATCCCACATGAATAGCTTGGTACCATTCTGTCAGTAGTGAGTGAATTCTTGCTTTTTTGGTTTCTATGAGGGCTGGTTGTTAAAAAGAATCTCCACTTCCCTCTTAGGCTGGGTCACGCGAGGGTGAAGCTCCAACCGCCCAGGACTCCTTAAGAGTGAATCGCGTCCACTGAAGTTCCTCTCCGGGACCTCCCCCTCCTGCCGCCCCCGCTCTGCACCTCCACCCTCTCACTCTGAGCCGCACGCACCCTGTAACCTCCCTGCCGGCAAAACTACTCTTCAAAGACTTCCTTCCGGGCATCGTGAAGCCCGCGTGCTCAGCATTCGGAGAGGCAGCCGCGCTCGCCTTCATCCAGGACAACAAAACCGCCGTTTCTGAAAAGAAAGGAAGCGGCTTCTGGGGTTCCCAGGCGCGCGCCTGAGAGCGAGGCCAGGAGCCGCGTCGCCACGCCCAGAACCCCGAGCCCGCCCCCGCGCCACCCGCCTGGCCTTGTGGCTCCGGCTGCGCACGCGACGCCCCTTCCAGGCCCAGCTCCTGCGCCCTATTTGGTCATTGGGGGCAAGTGGCGGGAGGGGAGAAGTGCGCCGCCTGAGGGGACACGGAGCCGGCGCGGGCTGCGCAGATGAGCCGCTCTCGCTGCTGCCTTCTCGGCTGGGAACCCACGAGACTCGGCGCGCGAGGTGCCTGGGCTGCGCTGCTCCTGGGGACGCTGCAGGTGCTGGCGCTGCTGGGGGCCGCCCTGGAGTACAGCGCAACCTCGGCGACATCTGCAAACATAGAGAATTCTGTGCCTCCACACAACTCTAGTGCTATCTTAACAGAGACTCTCCAACATGTGCCTTCTGACCATGCAAATGAAACTTCCAACAGCACTATGAGACTACCAACTCCAGCTGCCTCAGTCCCCAGCAATTAGACAGTCACCACCATGAAACCCACAGCAGCAACTAATAGGACAACACCAAGGATGGTCTCAACAAATAGGACTGCCATCTTCAAGTCTACACCCAAAACAAACACATCTCAGATAGCAACATCCACGATGACCATAGCCCACAATAGTTCAGTGACATCTGTTTCTTCATCAGTAACAATTACAGCAACTATGCATTCTGAAGCAAAGAAAGGATCCAAATTTGATACTGGGAGCTTTGTTGGCGGTATTGTATTAATGCTGGGAGTTTTATCTATTCTTTACATTGGATGCAAAATGTACTACTCAAGAAGAGGCATTCCGTATAGAACCATAGATGAACATGACGCCATCATTTAAGGAAATCATGGACCAAAGAAGGAAGACAGATTGATGCAGCCCTATCAATTAATTTTGGTTTATTAATAGTTTAAAACAATATTCTCTTCTTGAAAACAGCATAAACAGGCCATGCATAAAATGTACAGTGTATTATGTAAATGTGTAAAGATTCTTCAAGGTAACAAGGGTTTGGGTTTTGTAATAAACATCTAGAGCTTAAAAAAAAAGAATCTGGCACCTCCTCTCTCTCTCTCTCACTCTTTCTCCCTTTCTCCCTTTCTCTCTCTCTCTCTCTCTCTCTCTCTCTCTCTCTCTCTCATTTCCTCTCTTGCCATGTGATCTCTGCACATGCTGGCTCCCTTTAGGCTTCCACCATAAGTGGAAGTAACCTGGGCCCTTCTGCAGAAACAGAAGCTGGCATCATGCTTCTTGTACAGTCTGCACAACAGTGAGCTAAATAAACTTCTTTATAAATTACTCAGCCTCAGGTAGTCCTTTATAGCAACACTAAATGGACTCAGAAATAGCTCACACTTGGTGTCTTTTAATGTTATAACCAGGCATTCAATCTCTACAAATATCCAGTAGCATGCCAGGAGCTGCAAAAGAAATAGCAGTCTGCAAAAGCCAGATAACTCTTTGTCAACTTTGAAGGAGATTTTCTTTTCCTACAGTCCCTTCATCATGGAGAGCTCTATCATGATTAGATCTATTGAGTGTGATGGTCCAATAGTCTGGCTCTGCAGAAGGCTCCTGCAGAGCCTTCTGTTAACTGTGGCCCC